AGAACAATGATCTGCCACGGCCGAGGTGTTGGTCCTACCGTGAAACCTTCTGCTGCCAGGCCACCAAGATTATACGGCTTACCAAACATACATAAAGTAGATACACCCCTTCGTCCCATAGTCTCTACTATCGGCCCCCCCACCTACAAACTAGCTCGTTTTTTGTCTGAAATCCTGCGTCCTTTCACTGGAAAGACCACCTCTGCGGTACAAAATTCTACTCACCTGGTATCGACAATCAAGGGTATTTCCCTGTCCCCAGACGACCTGCTTGTCAGTTTTGATGTAGTTTCCTTATTCACCAAGGTTCCTGTACCTGCCACTATTGCAATCATTGAAGACTTGGTTCATCAAGGACTAAACACTGAGGTACCCCCCCTGGTGAGACACTGTTTAACCAATACATACTTCACTTGGAATGGAACTTTCTACAAACAAACTGAGGGCACCCCAATGGGCTCCCCCCTTTCTCCAGTTATAGCTAACATTTTCATGGAGAAATTTGAGACTGACGCCATCCAGACTGCCACTCTGCGCCCAACCTTATGGAAGAGGTACGTGGATGACACTTTTGTCATCTGGCCACATGGCCGGCCTGCTCTAGACCAATTCTTCGACCACATCAATTCCATACACCCAGCCATCAGATTTACCATGGAAGTCGAAATAGATGGCAAGATACCTTTTTTGGATGTCCTAATTAAAAAGATACCTGATGGTTCAATGAGCCACTCTGTCTACAGGAAAGCTACCCATACGGATGCTTATCTGAAACCGGATTCCCACCACCATCCATCACAGAAGAATTCTCTCATCAAGACTCTGTATCATAGAGCCCAATGCATATCCGACCAGGAACACATAAGCAGTGAACTCAAGCACGTACACCAAGCTCTTAGGGCTAATGGTTACTCCGACTATACAATCCGCAAAGCTATCACTCAAACCATGAAGAAGAACCCTCTTGAGGAGCCTTTCAAAACCATCACTTTACCCTACATTGCTGGGATCACAAAAAAGATCTCCAAAATCTTGAATAAACACAAGATCCAGGTCCGTTTCAACACATTACATAAAATTCGTGATCTGGTTCCGTCTGTAAAAGATGTGATTCCGAACATACAATACCCTGGTGTCTACAAACTAAGTTGCCTCTGTGGTAGTAGTTACATTGGAGAAACCAAACGCCATGTCTCGGACCGCATTCGTGAACACAAAGCAGACCTTAAACACGGTAGGACCAACACCTCGGCCGTGGCAGATCATTGTTCTAATTCAGTAGGCTCACATGCCATTGACTTTTCCAAGACAGAGGTTCTTTGTAAGCCATCTGGCTTCCATGAGAGATTCGTTCATGAGGCTATCCACATATACAAGCACAGAGACAATTTCAACCGAGAAGATGGATTCTATCTTAGCAATCATTGGAAAGATTTGATAAATCATTTCAGTTCTTGATTGATTGTTCACGCTTACAGTGGCTTTCAGACAGCATACATTATAAAAAATTTCGTCTCCCCCCTCCTCTTTTCAGAATATAGATGGACTAGTCCTGGGTAAACTGCCAAATCGTTGCGCGTGGCGCTAACGTGTTTTTTATATACATAAATAAATGCGCCGTTTAAAAATAAATGTATGCGAACCAACACACCTGAAGACGACCGTTTGAGTTATGGTCGAAACGTCGTGAGAATTTTGTATTGTTTATATATATTTTATTATTTTGTTGTTTCTCTTCAACGTGACTTTACCGAAAAAACTAAGAATATAAGTAGAACGTGTTGTCTATATTTAAAGTTGCGCATTTTGATGTGACATCACATTTCTCAAACACCCCCTCCCCCTCATCACACATCGTCACAAATGTCTGACGGCTACTTGTGTTGTGGCCGAAACGTCGTGATAATGTTATTGTTTTATTTTATAATTTTATTCTCATTCTACGTGACTTTACCGAAAGAACCAAAGAAGATGAATCCTTGCAGTCACGAAAGCTTTAAATCGAAATTTAACTCTGTAACATGATAACAATCAATCAGTCAACACACGCCTGGAATCTTCCCCCAGGTGGTCTCCAGAGTAGGGAGGCACATTTCTCGCGGTATTGTTGCAAATTCTAAGAAGTGTTCAAAGCCAATGTTTAAAGCACCCTGTATTTAACCTCCTTTGGCCCTCTCTCCGCTCTGAAGACGGGGCCAGTGCTCGGAACAGCATCAGCCGACTGTTGTAGATTCGCCTGCTGCGATGGCTGCCGTTCGTGCCAAATGTGAGTCTTTTTGGAGTTGCGACAGTAGGCCACTGGCCGAGGGAAGCCCCCCGTTCTTTAAATCTCACGATGCCTAAAGTCACCCTGCCCTAGTGAACGGCTTACTCGCAAAAAAAACAAATAAGGCGACGTTGTTGCCGTGCAACAGTCATGCCTCCGGCCAACCCTACATGGTGTTCAGGACTAAAGTAATCTGTATTGCCAATCCCCAGCTTAAGACGCAGATCCAAATCTGTGGATCTTAGCACAGGGATTGATACGGCTCTTGGAAGCACACAGGAACTCTGCTACTTGCGAACATTTGACTTAACGAGAGATACGAACAAACCTGTCCCTAAGTCCAGTTACCTGCTCGGACCGAGAGTCGTAAGTTCAACCGCCGCGCAATAGATGGCGGTGGTGGCATCTACATCTGTAGAACGTGAAGAACCAGTGGCATCTACATCTGCGGAACATGAAGAACCAGTGGCATCTACATCTGCGGAACATGAAGAACCAGTGGCATCTACATCTGCCGAACGTGAAGAACCAGTGGCATCTACATCTGCAGAACGTGAAGAACCAGTGGCATCTACATCTGCAGAACATGAAGAACCAGTGGCATCTACATCTACAGACCGTGACGAACCAGTGGCATCTACAGTTACAGCACATGAAGAACCAGTGGCATCTACATCTGCAGAACATGAAGAACTAGTGGCATCTACATCTGCAGAACGTGAAGAACCAGTCACATCTACAGAACATGAAGAACTAGTAGCATCTACATCTGCAGAGCATGAAGAACCAGTGGCATCTACAGGAGATTGTGCAACGTTTAAAGCTATCCCTCGTGTTGAGTGTACACGCCGTACATGATTGGAATCGACAGGAGTTACCAACAAATCGACTTACGAAGTCCTCTTAACTCGTTCGTAAGTAGAGGAGTCCCTGTATTTGGTTTGGTATCACTGGTGTCTGATCCCAGGCATCGCTGTGGGTACACTGTGGACACAGTGGCTGGTGTTCCAAGGGCAAGAGGCTCTCTTGTCATTGTTGAACCTAGTTTATCTGCCCTGAGACGATGATGGTTTCACATCGTACTTCGTGTTTTCGCTTTGTATGCTTAGGTCTTACCTCGGAATTCCAAGTTCCTTCCAAAAAGTAACCAACATGCAGAATTGTACGAAAGAAAGCCAAGGGAAGTGGTAGGGTTTCGTGATGTTGATTTAAAAGAAATATACATTTGTGTTTAATAAGTGAATTCTGCTTAATCGAGGGATTAAACATAATTTTAAAAAAGAGAAATGTACATTTGAATCCCAAACACTGCTTTACATTGCGGCGGACAGGCCTGTTCAGAGATGAATCACCGAGCCACTGAGTTTGGGAGACACAGATGCAGTTCACTCTTTATGAGGGCTCATCGGTGAGCCGAAGTCAGCTGCAGACTGCCACACAATATGCAAAATGTACAGCCTTGTTGTCAATCTAGCACCGTATCACTGCTCTCCTGATGCCTGCGCGAGGTTGTGCACATTTACACTTTGCGTACCGTCCAAGTAAACTGCGAGCAGCTGGACATCTGTGAAAAAAGAGCTTCATAGCTCATCGGATTCCTCCAGTATGAATAAATATTCCGAGTGTGATGATTGGGGAGTGAACAAGACGAGACGGGGGGGGGGGGGGGGGGAGCAAACAACGCAAAATTGACGGTAACCCACGAAACCTAAAAACCAACAACGGCTTTGTTGAAGTGAACAATCGCGCGAGCACGCTTCACCGCCCTGGTCACCGGCAGCTGCCGATGGTGGGGGGAGCACAGAGCTGGGAACGGGGCGGGTACAGGTCAAGGGATTTGTCTGCAACTTCCCCCTGCCACCCCCGCAACAATCCGTGGTCAACTCCGTGGTCTGTGGAAGGCGGCCATTCAGACTTGCCTTCCTTTTCATTAATGACATTTTTATTTACCAATTACCTTCATGCTATCCATTGCGCAACGGTTGCAAGTTACTTTTGCTCAGTCCGAGTCAGCCGCCGAGGCCGTGACGGGTTTCCATTTCATTTCTCTTGCTCCGTCGCCGCCTGTACCGTTCCCGTTCTGCTGCAGTGTGCGGCGACGATGCCCACTTTACCGGCGGCGATACTGACACGTCAAATAGAGGGTTGAATGAACGCGGGCCCGCAAGCCCTGCGACCAACCCCCGTTTAAATTTTGATTTAAAGCTTTCGTGACTGCAGTAATTCATATTCTTGGCTCTTTCGGTAAAGTCACGTTGAAGGGAAACAAAATAATAAAATATATATAAAACAATAAAAATTCTCACGACGTTTCGACCATAACACAAACGGTCGTCATCAGGTTGAGAATTTTTATTGTTTTATATATATTTTATTATTTTATTGTTTCCCTTCAACGTGACTTTACCGAAAGAGCTAAGAATATAAACCCCCGTTTGTGCTGCGTCTGTCACCGTCACCAAAGCAAAAACCCCGGGGGGCTGAACCCCCCGCTTAGCGACCGAGACGTGACGAGGTCGGGCGCTGGGTACTCGCAGGGAGGCCCACAGAGCGACCGCGCGCTGCCGGGTCTGTCTGCGCTCCCACGCATGCCCCGTGGCTGTCCTCCGGACACTTTCCCCATTTCCTTCCACGTGCCGTGAGAACGCTCTCAAATGAATGCACTGGTCAAACACCCCTCGAAGTTGGTAGCCGTCTGGGAAAGGGGAAAAAAAAATAATCTCGACGCTCAAGCGAAGTTTTCCTTGGCGAAACAAATTCAATTTAGTGACCGCTCAAGACGCACACGCACGCACACACACACACACACACGAGTCACGGCGCGTAACGCCCTTCTCCTCGCACGTCCAGTCCCCAAGCTTCAGCGCCAACGTCGAGCAACGCTGGAGCCCCTCCATCAGCTCGGGCCCCGGCCGCCGACTGCGACCGGCAGGGGAAATCTTTCCCGAGGGCCAAATAGGATTTACACGTTGACAACGCACCCTGGCGCTATCCAACAACGCAACGTGCACGTCAACCGGGCCTAGAGGAGACCGCTTGCAGAGTGACCGAGCGTGATAAAATCGGAAGCGGCAGTTGCTGTGGCCAGGTCGAGGATATTTGCCCCTCGAGCAACCCATTTAGTGCGGCTAAAATGCTTGCAGCGACGGATGAATATCGTCCGTGCGGGCCGTTGCGAAGCAGAACGCCGCACGTGGCCACGAGTCTCGTGAAATGAAGTCCTGGGTCACATCAGGCCCCATGGGCCATTGAATCCTCGGTCCTGAGCTTGACCAACAGCTGGTGGGCAGAGAGAGGGAGGGGAGGGAGGGGGTCGCTGTGTGGGGGGCCGCTGTTGGCTTGTTTCATGGTCCACCGAGTGAGGGTCGGTGTGGGTCGCGACGAAGGCTGAAGAGGGGGATGCAGGCCGGCGGTTTGAAGGGAGACGTGAAGACGGGGAGGGGCCTCTGCCGAGCGACGTCGAGGCCCCCCCCCCCACCCCCCCCCGGGATCCCCGGAGAGGTTCAGATGCGCAGTGTGAGCGAAGTCTGCGCCATCGCGTTGTAGATGAACGTGTCGTTGAACGGCACGAACTGGTGCGTGATCACTTTGATGGCTTCCTGCGCAGCCGTTCCTGCGAGGGTGGGGGGAGGGCGGAGGGGTGGGGGCAGGGGCAGGGGTGGGGGACGAGCGAGGAGACGGTCGCTTTGGTTGCTCTGCACACCGAAGCAGCTCACGAGGACTACGCAGCAGTCGAGGACTACGCAGCAGTCGAGGACTACTCAGCTTTCCACCGCGCAGCCGAGCCGTGCCGCAACCGTGTCAAGCCAAGCCCGGCGCGGGTCAGGGGTCGCGCCAGCGTTCACTCTACATTTGTGCAAAATCTGAAAATGATTAACCCTGCCCCCTGACGTTGCTTGGCCCTTATTCACAAAGGGCTGAGTCCAGATTTAGATTTCAGTCGGGTATGTTCTGGTCAGAGAACCGAAAAGCATTTTTGCATCCGGCACCGCACATCCAATATCCACCTCTTGTGTTGGAAGTGCCGTTAGCGTCTGGCACTTACTCGAGCCTACCAGCGACTGAACGAGACATTTTCAGTTACCATCCGTCACGCTCCTGTGACTTACACTCCAACTAGCACCTGCACGTAAGCTACTCTCATTGCTCCGTAACCACGGTAGATTTCCCTCTTTTGCCTGCAACTCTGTCGTCAGTCTCGACCGCCGACCATCATCCCCGCTCGCGACTGGTCCTGGGCCAAGCCCACTAACTTTTCATTACAATCAACACGATACCTCTAACGTGCGTGGTCTCTCTTTCTCTCTCTAATACGAGCGCTGCTCTTCCTCGTCTCTCAGTGTAATTCCCCGGGCCGATGTGCATTGGCAGTTCAAGCTGCGATGAAGTCTCGGCTGCCGCGCGGGCAGCACACACGAGTTGAAATCGTCCGTTCGTCTCAATCGTTCGCACCTCCGATGAAGGAGGCGACGGTGTGAGGCTCCGCCGCTCCGTACCGACAGCTGCAAGACAACGGCAGAGACACGCGGCAGCTTGCTCAGACACCCGTGGTTAAACACGTGGTTAAACACGTGGTTAAACACGTGGCTAAACAGGTGGTTAAACACGTGGTTAAACACGTGGTTAAACACGTGGCTAAACAGGTGGTTAAACACGTGGTTAAACAGGTGGTTAAACACGTGGTTAAACACGTGGCTAAACACGTGGCTAAACAGGTGGTTAAACACGTGGTTAAACACGTGGTTAAACACGTGGCTAAACAGGTGGTTAAACACGTGGTTAAACAGGTGGTTAAACACGTGGTTAAACACGTGGCTAAACACGTGGCTAAACAGGTGGTTAAACACGTGGTTAAACACGTGGCTAAACAGGTGGTTAAACACGTGGCTAAACAGGTGGTTAAACACGTGGTTAAACACGTGGCTAAACATGTGGTTAAACACGTGGCTAAACAGGTGGTTAAACACGTGGTTAAACACGTGGCTAAACACGTGGCTAAACACGTGGCTAAACATGCACCCCGGGGGACCGGGAAGGGGGGCAAATGGGCAGTTGACCCCTCACCCCCTGCAATGTCACAGAGGATGCTTGAGATTTATCTTGAATGTAAAATAGTTGCACATAACGCAAAAGAAGAGTGCGTGGAGGGGAGTGGAGTGAGATGAGAGGGGAGAGGGAAGAGAGTGCGTGGGGGGGAGTGGAGTGAGATGAGAGGGGAGAGGGAAGAGAGTGAGTGGAGGAGAGCAGAGTGAGCTGAGAGGGGCGAGGTAGGCAGGGGCGAGTCTACAGAGCATCTAGAAGGTGATGAGCGGGAGCTCCGGAGCTCGGCTCGGGCGACCGTAGGATGGGAACCGAGGGACGTCTGATGGCGGGACGCTGCACGTACAACTCATGCAGGTACTCGTCCTTGACGGTACAGTGGAGCCCCCACTCATGCAGCAGGCCGGCCACGCACGCCCGCAGCTCGGCCACATCCCGGTCCACGTCCTCGGCACGCACACCTAGCCGGGAACAGCGGTCGTGAGCGCTGCAGGTGGGCGACGTTAACTACCTCGTCGCCTGCTACGCAGGAGGTAGTGGGTTCGATCCCGACCCTGACCCCTGTATATTTGAAGTTTTGCGTGTCTCTCTGCCCGTGGTCGCGTGGATTTTTCTCCGGGTCCTCCGGTTTTATCCCTCCAGGTTTAGAAATACGCGTTTAGAGTATTTGTTTGCGATAAAGTTCCACGTGATAAGCCACTCAGTTGAGTTATCATTTGTGGCCAGGTGACTTCTGAAAAAAGAGCTATGCAGCTCAGTAAGCCTTACTTGGTAAAATAAAAATAGTTTATATTTTTTATAGTATATAGTTCAAATGAGTATCTGGTGCGGTGTGTAAACATCGCCACCGAGGAGACAAAAGGGTGGTGCTGGCCACTCACCCCCTGGTGTGCCATGCCGGCCTTCATAGGTGCACATTAACAGCACTTGCCCAAACAGTCTGGCTATACGGGGGGTCAAGTACACACGAGGCATGGCACGTTGGCATAGTCGGGGGCACAGCTGATGCATCTGCCAGACACCTCGGTCAGTCAACCCCAGAGCACTTGGGTCTGCCCCGTGACCTCCTGCCAGCGGGCGTTCGACACTTTACGTGGCCTCAAAGTGCACATAGCCTGGCACAGACGCCGTGGTGACGTCACCGCCACTTAGTGGCGAACGGCTGTTGTTGCTGCGTGCACGAGGTACGCGCGCTCAGACCTGGGTAGCGGCCGTACTGCTGGTAAAAGCGGTCCACTGCCCGCAGCATGACGTACAGCACCGCCTCGCCTTCCGCCGACTCCAGCTGACTGCCTGCACAAACGCGCACAACAAAGATCCCCCCGTGTAGCCTTAACAGACTGTTGGGGCGAGTGCTGTTTGCGACATGCACCTATGAAGGCCGGCACGGCACACGAGGGGGGTGGGGTGACCAGCAACCACGCCCGGCCGCCTTTGTCTACCAAGTGGCGACGTTTTACACACCCCACCAGGTAAGGTTCTCGTTTGAGGCCGAGTCCACCTGGGGGAGGCCCAGGATTAGCTTAGATATCGTCACTGGTGTTGGCCCGTGAGCGGGAATGGAACTCGGACCGCCGGGTTCGTGGCGGAGTGACGCGCATACACACACACAGCAACAAGCATGGGCAAGATCAGCTTGGCCAGGGGTAACGATATGACCACACCGTGCCCTCCCTCCCTCCCTCCAACTAAAGTTAAAAGCATTATCACGTAAACGCTGTCGCTCTACGCTCAAGCATAGTCCAATATGAACGATATTTGACTGTAAATCTGCGTTGCTATGAGGAACTTGCCCAATAGAAAACTGGTCACGTTGATCAAAGCGCTTTCTCAACACTTCGCGATCAAACGGCCAGCACCAAAAAGGAAAAGCCTTGTTGGCCAATGCGATGACATCGCACGCCATGTGACTCCCTCCCTGCCTCCCTCCCTTCCACTCCACTCCACTGCACTCCCTCCCCGCGCGCACTGCAGATGAACAAGCCAGTCAACCCGTGGCACTGCAGGCGAAACAACCGCGTGAACACGGAGAATGTCCAGTCGTGGGTTAGCAACTCGCGGGCAGGTCACCTATGTCGGCGGTGAGGGCGGTCTTAGCATCGTACTCCTCGGCCAGCGAGCGACACCTCACCACGCGCAGGAAGGCCGCGTGCTTGCCTGCGAGAGGAGGAACACCACAACAATCTCCACGTTAAACGGGGTGGGGGGCCGGGGGGCCTCCACGTCTCACTGAATATTTGTTGAGGTCACTGCTATCACTCACTGGATAGAGGCGGCAGGGGGCACGTGGCTAGCAGCCACAGCCGTAGCGAGAGTCATGTTTGATGTGGAAATAATGAGTTAAGCCGTGGATATAACGCTTTGTACTCTGTGTAGGGTTAACACAAATTGTATATCAACAATAATAATTATATTTATTATAAGTGTAATGGAATCAAGATGGTTTTCCGGGAGTGCGCTGCCAAGTTTCTGCAGTGGGGGTGATGTTGCCGCTGTGTCGAGTAACATGCAGCATACACATTTTTCAGCATTGGGATATTTTGTGTGAATGTACGATGCACTTCTTTGGTACCGTACGTAGCCAACCGTGCAAATCATGGATGTTGGGTTTTCATTTATTTTTCGCCCGAGAAAGAAACCAGAGACCTTGGGAGGGAAACCCATGCAGATCAGGGTGTGAGAGAGAGAACACACCAACTACACGCGCAGAAAGGCACCCGAGTCGGGAGTCTAACCCAGGCCCCCCCGTTATCCATTGGATAAAAGGGTCAGCTTCAGCGCACCCTAGCGTGGCGGAACAGCGGTGGGCTGAGCACGGCTACGCATGCTGTGCAACGTGACGTTACTCACAAAACAGCCTGACGTCTCCCTCCGATATGCCGTCCGCCGGCTGTGAAACACACAAGCGGCGGCCGCGTTAGTCCTCGGTGCTCGGCATTGCGAACCTCAAGACATGTTCGCCGTTCATTAACAATAACTGATCGTAATTGAGTATGTTCGGTGTCTGTGCCACGCGCCTCACCCGTCCCAGAGAATGCAGCAGCGAGGCAGTGAGCTTCCCAACAGCATCGGCGTCTTGCTTAGCTTTCTCCCGGTACCTGTAAGAGCAAAATGCTGTCACCGAGCACCTATTCACACTGATGGGAGTACAGGAGGGGGTTGGTGTGGCCCAACAAAACACCTGGCCGTCTTTGTCTCCCCAAATGCTGATGTTTAAACACAGCACCACCTACTTGAGCTTGGGGAGACACGTATATTTCTTAAGGCTTTCCAATTAAATTTGAAAGCATTATCAACGTATGCTCCGTCACTCTCTACGCTCAAGCGTCGTCCACTTTGAACGATACTTGATGGTAAATCTACGTTGCTATTGGGGAACTACCCTGCAGAGAAATCGGTCACGTTGATCACTCGCCGATAAAACGTCCAGCACTCGGCGATAAAAGGTCCAGGACTAAGAGGTACGGTAAGCCTTCATAATGAAGGTTTTTTTGGGTTAGATCGCGTTATTTATAAATGTGTCGTAACCCTCCACCACCCGACACGGCCAAACAGTAAAACATGCGTCACGTTTACAAAGGACAAATAGTTCACTACTTTAGCCCACCGGTGTGTTGAAGAGCGAATCAACATCATTTAAAATTCAACACACCGGTGGGCTAAAGTAGTGAACTATTTGTCCTTTGTAAACGTGACACATTTTTTACTGTTTGGCCGTGTCGGGTGGTGGAAGGTTACGACACATTTATAAATAACGCGATCTAACCCAAAAAAACCTTCATTATAATATTGGTCGCGAAAGCCTCCTGCTACGTGTTAAACGGGGTAAGCCTTGTCGGCCAATTCGATGACATCGCGCGCCGTGCGACATCGTCTCTCTCCGCGCGGCTCGGGACGCAACGTCGCCGCTAAATAACCACCTCCCAGGACAAACGCACATTGGGGAGTGTTCCAGAATCCGTCCAAGCGCGCCATTCCTTCTTCCTTTCTTACGTCAATCCCGAGGCGGCCAGGTGAAAAGACAAACTAGGACACGACACGTCTGTCTAAGGGGCGGGGGGGGGGGGGGTCAAAGGGCAGCGACGGGCGCCCTAGGGCGAAGGGGCTCGGGGTCACGCACACGTTCTGGAGGCGCACGAACTTGTCCGAGTCGGCGATCATGTCCGGGATGGAGCCACGCAGCGGCAGCGCGCCCTCCCCCCCCTCGGCCTCCACGAAGTCTCGCAGCGCTCGCACGAGCACCCAGAAGTCGGCGCTCTGGCGACGGGAACGTCAGAGCGGGAAGAGACGTTACGTGGCGGTGGCCAGGGGAGCTGTGGGCGCGAGAGAGTTTGGGTGCGGGTGAGCGGGAGGTTGTGGGTGTGGGCGAGTGGGAGGTTGAGTGTGGGCGAGTTGCAGGTCGAGGGTGAGTGAGCAGGAAGTTGAGCGAGCACTCGGCTGACATTTCCGCTCACCTTGGCCGAGAGGCTCTGACAGCTGGGGTCACTGAAGAGTTGCCGAACAACATCAGGAATCTGGACAAAGCGCAGTCGAAAAGAATCAAAAATGCAATTGTGCGTGCGATTTAAATGCCACACGTGCAATCCGTATTTTGATTGCGGAAGGTACCCGGGGATACGGAGCTCACGGTGGGCTCAGTTGCGCGCTGGCCGCAGGAAAGGGGAAAGCCCCTCACCAACTACCGTCGACGCCTGCGATGAGCACGGTTGGCTACGTACGGCGCGAAAGAAGTTCAACATACATATGTAGCGACACAGCGCCGACTGCTGTCCAGCAGCGGCAACTGCGGCGGACAAGTAAGCGCACTCGCGCCGTGGATGCATAGAAACGGCTGAGTGTGCCCTGCGGCAAGGGTCACGGAAGACCTCATCGGGAAGCCCCTGGAACCCGCTAGTGGGCTCGAGAAGGGAGGCGCGGCCAGGGCGGAGCCAGCAGGCTGCGCCGAGGAGAATAAAAGCAGCGGAGAGCGGGAGGCTCCGGGTTGCCGGTTCTGGGAGTGGTCTCGTCTCGTCGTCGCTGCCGTCTTCGCCCGATAATTGCGCGGCCCGAGAGTAGCTGGCTGTCTCGGTTGATGCCGTCGGTGCAACGCGGTCAGGGTTGTGTCTAGGCCGGAGTGGTGTAACGGAAATAAAAGAGGTGCCTCCTATAACTACCTCGTCTCCGGCTGTGTGCGCTACATACACACCGAGGAGGACACTGCACATAGATACAAGCAGCCCTCGCTCACCCGTGTTGGATTGAGAGCGGTCGTCGTGTTCTTGATGGCCTCCTCAAAGTTCTCCTCGACAGACGACGCTCCGTGCTCGTTCTTGATCATCCCTGCAAGAACGCTCCGCACGATCAGCCGCTGGCAGGGGGGGCCGTCTATCCATACACAACACCTACTCACAGCTCACTGCATTCGGGATGTAAACTTACAGATAACACAAAAAGGGATTTGCCCAGAACAGCTGCATCGAACCTCAAGGCAGCATGATCCTGTCCAGAGATGTCTATCCAACGGGGTGCTGCGGTGGTGAGATATTAACTGCCTTGCCTGGTATACAGGTCATGGATTCGATCCTAACCCTGACACCTATATAGATGGAGTTTGCATGTGTGACCGTGTGGATCTTTCTCCGGGTCTTCCCTGTTTTTCTCTCCACATTTACAAACGTGCATTTAGAGTATATGGCTGCTCATACATTTCCACATGATGGTAAGGCACCTCTCTGAGCTATAATTTGCGATAGCCAGGTCGCTCCCTGTTTATTTTATTTGGCCAGGTTAAGCTCAGTGGGACTTAACCTGGCGAAATAAAATAAATAGTTTACACTGCAGTAGCGGGAGGAAAACCCGGAGCTAAACCAAACTGTTATACGAGTGGACACCACACGGAGGTCTGCAAGGACCGGTCATTATTATGAAATCCGTGTGATGTGCTGCCATGCTCTCTAAGTTTGGGAGCGTTGTAGCGGCATCACCAGCCGTACTGAGAACGAAGGCTCCCCCTCCCACCCCATCACAATCTATGATGGTGCCAACCCCACCGGGCACCTACACACGGGGCTGGCACGGGCGAGGGGAAGGGCTCGAGCGATTGCCATACCTTGCCTGATCAGCTCCTTAAACTGGTCCTTCTCCTTGTAGTTCTTGGGCAGACTGCCATCGTGCTGCAAGCACACGCACAGGGTCACAGTGTAAGAGAACGACACGGACCCAGGAGAAGAGAGAGACGGGGTAACGTTTAAGAAACAAGCCGCGAGCACGGTGACGGGAGGGAACCGGACGAAGGACTACCATCACCTGCGACCTCCACACGTCCAGGTACTTGGCCACCACCACCAGCCATGGCGTATGACTGTGCTCCTGTAGATCACACACACACACAAAAAGACAATGATCACATGCGTATTCTAAACGGGCTATTGGTGGCAAATGCAAGCGACAGCCTACTGAGATCAGAAGTATAATTTTTTTCAAGAGACCTGCGTACTCATTTAGCAAATGACTCATTTAAGGCTGAATCAACCTAGGGGCGGCCCAGGACACGGTTCAAATGCCACGAGCTACTGATACTATCCATGGACTGGTGAACAAACTCAGGCCATCGGGAGCGTAACACGGTGCACAAGCCATCAATACTCGCGTAAACGTACAAACACACGCTCGCACGCAAACAACCGTCATTCGCTACACACAAAGACACACACACACACGCACACGTAATTCTGCCACGTGGGACAAGACGAAGAAAGCGGTCGTGAAGCTCTTATAGAGCGAGATGGGGCGTCGCGGTGGCGAGACGTTAACTCCCTGGCCTGGTATGCAGGAGGACGTGGGTTCCGAGTTTGCGTGCTTTTCTCCGGGTTCTCAGGTTTTTCCTTACACATTGAGACTCAACATCACGTGTTCAAGAGCATTCGGCTGCTATAAATATCCACGCGATGATGAGCCACTTCTCGTTGAGCTATCATTTGTGGCCAGGTCGTTTCTGAAAACGAGCTAAACAGCTCAGTTGTGCCTGACCTGCTAAAAATCGTCACGCCTTTTTATTTTACTTTTTGCCCATGATCTGGGATGAAGGCCTCTCCAAGCCCGCTCCACCTCGCACAACAAGGCAGCCCCATCATCCATCCAGCTCCTGCGCGCGGTGTCCAACTGCGTGACACGGAGTTCACCGGGAGTGTGTGGGGGGGGTGGGAGAGGTGGGGGGGTGGCGTGCAGGCGTCAGAGGCACCTTCTTGTCGAGGAGGGCCAGGTCGCAGGAAGCCAGGTGTTTGACGAGCGCCGGGAAGGGACGGTCGAGGCGCAGGTCCTCGAGCGCGTTGTCCGGGTGCGACTCGACGACGGTGTGCTCGCGAAGTGCCACGCGCATGTAGCCCGTCATGCCGTAGGCGCGGCACGCCAGCAGCGGCACGCCGGCCTCCCACAGCGCCGCCGCCAGCCGCAGCAGCGTGCTGTCGGGGGCGGAGGGGGTGCGGACGCGGCGGAACGCGAGTACGTTGAACTTGTTCTTTCGCGCCGTGCGTAAGCCGGCAACCGTCGCGAGGAGTCGCCGTGTGACGGGGCGAGGGTCGGAGGGGTCGCCGCGGGGAGGAGGGGGAACGGCGAGGAGAGCGCGGCGTGAGGTGAGGTTCCGGGCCGCTGGTGCTTTACCTTTGCGGCAGCTGTGTCGTGATGACCACGGTGAACTTGTGAAAGAACGTGGGCTCCTTCTCTAAGACTTTCTCCACAGCCTGTTGCATTAAAAAAAAAAGATTCACGTCAGAAAATTGCCGCGTGATGCCCTATCGCCTGCTACCAAATAATAAACTTCCTCAAACGAGCGACTTCTAACTCCGTCTGCCGTCTTACCTCCTCAACAAAGTTTCCAGACACGTCGCTGTTCAGCTCCTGGATGAGATTCATCGCCGTCTTCGCTCGACTCTGTAACACAAGCACGGCCTGGAATGTCCTTCTCTAGATATGCATCGCAACCTACGACCTTGGTCACAGCCCTTGGTCATCACAAAACTCCGACCCTAGCCCTCGTAAGATTACTGATTATGTTACCAACGAGAAGAAAAATCCATTTTTTGAGCACTGAACTCATGAAACACACGGCCCGGCCCATCGTTGCAAGCCACGCGGTGGTCAATTTATCAACATTTTTATAACATCTCCGAGCACAATGGCAGAAATACGTCCAGGAGGTAGATGCCGATGTTGAGGTCTGCCAGCCACGACGGGAGGACTTCAAGGAGAGATTCCGTGGAGGTTTGCTGTTCCTCCTCCGTTGAAGGAGTGCAGACCACAGTCGCTTTGCTATTTGAGTCCCTAGTTTTGGTTGCATGGCCACAATTACACGGCTGTAGCTTGTCTTCATTGAACATCTCTATGGGTCTCTGTATCTCTTTCATGAGTACAGACTACAGTGGTGTACTGTATGGTCCATAATTTGGATTGCATGGCCACAAATGCACTGTGGCTTGTTTTGCATTGGGGAGAAACGTTCAAACACTGCCGTGCGGCATCAAGAGGGGCCCGACTGAGTAAAGGCGTGAAAAATAAAACCGCAAATGGACTACGGGGTTGATAATGTTGTTTATGTTGTTGTATTTTTGATAATTGCATTGCGAAAAAAATAAACGTGAAAAGCATCGTAGGTTTCGATTCCCGCTCATGGCCAACTTGAGTAGTGACCATTAGCTGAACTGGTCCTGGGCTTCCCCTAGCTCGACTCAGCCTCAATTGATCACCCGGTGTGCGATGTGCAAACATCGCCACTCGAGAGACAAAGGCGGTCGGGCTTGGTGCTGGCCACCCACCCCCTAGTGTACTGTTCCCGGCCTTCATAGGTGCTCGCTAACAGCACTTGCACCTATGGTCTGCTAAGGCTATACATGGAATCTTTGCCTTTGTGTGTCTGTTCAAACGAACCACACCGTGTCTGATGAGCCTTGGCGCTGGTGCATTTCTTTGGCTGCCACTGACCAATTACATTCAGCATGTGCCCTGCAGTTTGAATATTAGCCCGAGCCAATCGGTTCAATCGTTCCTACAATAAAAACTGAATTGGACTATCTAGTTTGAGAAACTTTCATATCCGATTGCCAAAATAATAATCGAACAATCAATAAATGATGAACAGCCCTTACAAAGGACACCCCCAACATACATTTCATTACCTCGCCAATGCTGCTCTTGTCCAAAAAGAAACTGTTACAACAAAAATAGAAAATGTTTTAGGGTCACACAAAGCTCCAATCGTCGTGCATTTAAATGAATAGCACTGCAATGAGAAGGCAACGTCCACACGTGTAAGAAACCTTACTTGTTGCCAATATCTTCCCCACTGACTTTGTTCCCATCCAAAATCGTAAAGGCGCCAATGCCTGAAATCGGAACAAGAAATTTAAGTGTCAACGCACAAACCTTCCTCGCAAGTTTCACGTTCCAACCACCCGGTGTTGTGAGCGCAATAGCTGGTTTTTTTAATCCCCCCCCGCGAGGAGAGCTTTTGCCTTGTCAATGAAATTCATGAATTCGATAAGGGAAGCATTTTATCACGGGGTCGAAGTGCCGTCCCTCCCCGTCTCTATGCGAGAAGGAGCGGACGGAGGCACGCACCAGGCAGCACAAGGTTTTTCAGGATCTCGGTTCCCGTGGCGCTGGCGTTGATCAGACACACGTGGGCGTTCTCCAAGGCTTGCTGTCCATGGTCGCCCCACAGCCTGTCACACGCCCAATGTTGATGAAAAAACACACGGAGTGGTCAGTCTTGCGCTCTATGCAGGGGGACAACGATTGAAGCGTAAGATGTGTATTGAAATGCAGGCTCGCTGCCTCTCCCCTCTCATCTCACTCCACTCCCCTCCACGCTCTCTCCTGCCTCTCCCCTCTCATCTCACTCTACTCCACTCCTCGCACTCTCCTACATCTCCCCTCTCATCTCACTCCACTCCCCTCCACGCACTCTCCTACCTCTCCCCTCTCATCTCACTCCGCTTCCCTCCACTCACTCTCCTGCCTCTCTCCTCTCATCTCACTCTACTCCCCTCCACGCACTCTACTACCTCTCCCCTCTCATCTCACTCTACTCCCCTCCACTCACTCTCCTACCTCTCCCCTCTCATCTCACTCCGCTTCCCTCCACTCACTCTCCTGCCTCTCTCCTCTCATCTCACTCTACTCCCCTCCACGCACTCTACTACCTCTCCCCTCTCATCTCACTCTACTCCCCTCCACTCACTCTCCTGCCTCTCCCCTCTCATCTCACTCTACTCCCCTCCACACACTCTCCTACCTCCCCCTCTCATCTCACTCTGCTCCCCTCCACACACTCTCCTACCTCTCCCTTCCCATCTCACTCCACTCCCTTCCACGCACTCTGAGCAGAGGTCAGTGAAGGAAAACTCCACTACTGCACAGTACCTCCATGTACCCACGTGTATGCTACCCGCATTCAACCCGCACGGACCGGTGTGGTGAAGTATGGTGAAACAAGAATTCAACAAACCCACGGGCGTGGTGAAGTATGGTGAAACAAGAACCCAACAAACCCACGGGTGTGGTGAAGTATGGTGAAACAAGAACCCAACAAACCCACGGGTGTGGTGAAGTATGGTGAAACAAGAACCCAACAAACCCACCGGCGTGGTGAAGAATGGTGAAACAAGAACCCAACAAACCCACAGGTGTGGTGAAGTATGGTGAAACAAGAACCCAACAAACCCACGGGTGTGGTGAAGTATGGTGAAACAAGAACCCAACAAACCCACCGGTGTGGTGAAGTATGGTGAAACAAGAACCCAACAAACCCACCGGCGTGGTGAAGTATGGTGAAACAAGAACCCAACAAACCCACGGGCATGGTGAAGTATGGTGAAACAAGAACCCAACAAACCCACGGGTGTGGTGAAGTATGGTGAAACAACAACCCCAACAAACTCACCGGCGTGGTGAAGTGTGGTGAAACAAGAATTCAACAAACCCACGGGTGTGGTGAAGTATGGTGAAACAAGAACCCAACAAACCCACGGGTGTGGTGAAGTATGGTGAAACAACAACCCCAACAAACTCACCGGCGTGGTGAAGTGTGGTGAAACAAGAATTCAACAAACCCACGGGTGTGGTGAAGTATGGTGAAACAAGAACCCCAACAAACCCACCGGTGTGGTGAAGTATGGTGAAACAAGAACCCCAACAAACCCACCGGTGTGGTGAAGTATGGTGAAACAAGAACCCAACAAACCCACGGGTGTGGTGAAATATGGTGAAACAAGAACCCAACAAACCCACCGGTGTGGTGAAGTATGGTGAAACAAGAACCCAACAAACCCACCGGTGTGGTGAAGTGTGGTGAAGTATGGTGAAACAAGAACCCAACAAACCCACGGGTGTGGTGAAGTATGGTGAAACAAGAACCCAACAAACCCACGGGTGTGGTGAAGTATGGTGAAACAAGAACCCAACAAACCCACGGGCGTGGTGAAGTATGGTGAAACAAGAACCCAACAAACCCACGGGTGTGGTGAATTATGGTGAAACAAGAACCCAACCAGCCCACCGGCGTGGGGAGGCCCTCATCCAGCGGTGGAGTGGCGAAGTCCACGAAACATTTATACACCGCGTCAAGTGCGATGAGCCGGGTCGACTCTGCCCATCACGCCAACCGTGGTCGTTAAATCAAGAACCACTTTGCGGGAATCCCAAGCGAGTCGATTTCTCCACTGACAAGAGCCCGCTCGCGCCACAACAATGTGGAGTTTCCACCAATGTCACGGGGCTATATAAACAACAACAAAAACTCGTGATAACAAAAACACAACACCGCCCCCCCCCCCAACCGCTGCATTCCGCCTGCGGGGAAACATCGCCCGTCCCCGGCACAACTTTCAGGCAACGCCGCAGGCCTACCAGCGTGTTCGATTCCATTGACCGACCAAACAAGCGCCGGTCTCGCCCCCGCCGGCTTCCCGCGCCTCCCTCAAAAACAAAACGGCGAGCGCGCGAGGCCGCCAGGCGTCGCAAGGGGCGGCATTCACCTCAGCTGTCGGTCGTATCTCCTCTCTTTCTCCTTGGCGAGCGTCTGGCTCTTGACGGTAAAGGCCATGGCCGTTGTTGTCCGGTGACCGTTACGGGGCAGTTGGCGGCGCGGTTCGCGCGCTGCAGATTCGCCCCCGCCGCCGCCACCGCCACCACAACGCCGATCGCTGTCGCGGGCGCTCCTCTACTTACGAACGGGTTAGGTTTTTCAAAGAGGTTTCTGTTCGTAAGTCGATTTGTGCGTAAGTCCCAACTTTAGTCCCCCCCCCACCCCAATATTCAAATATGCTCAAAATGCCCCCCCCCATACATTGCTATAAACAATATTAAAAATAATAATTGCTATGCTATGTAAATAAAAACAATTTGCTAAACCTTGGCCACAATATCTGGACTTGTCTTCATATAAATCAATGCATAGAATTCTGTTTATATGATTGTGGTTATGGTTGTTACTTTATTCATCCCTAATCTCTGCCATTACATACAATGAAACAATAAAAGGTAAACAAAACAGAGCAATGTAATATCTTAGACATTATTGTAAACATAAATTAAAAGTCCATCCCATGTGTTAGTGATTTTTTTTATATTTTAGGCAGGAAATTAGTTTTCAAATTTAGATTTTTTTCTAGGGGGGGGGGGGGACCCCCAGACCCCCTGGAAGATTTGATCTCCCCCAAAGTTGACTCCATGGCTACGGCCTTGGTCCCTGTCGATGACAAACGTGTTGTACGGCGTGTACACTAAACACGGGGGTGTGGCTTTAAAAGTTGCATCATCTCCTGGAGATGCCACTGGTTCTTCATGTTCTGCAGATGTAGATGCAGCTGGTTTTTCATGTTCTGCAGTTGCAGATACCACTGGTTCTTCACGTTCTGCAGATGCAAATGCCACTGGTTTTTCACGTTCTGGAGATGTAGATGCCACTGGTTCTTCGTCTTCTGCAGATGTAGATGCCAATGGTTCTTCACGTTCTGCAGATGTAGATGCCACTGGTTCTTCATGTTCTGCAGATGTAGATGCCACTGGGTCTTCGTGTTCTGTAGATGTAGATGCCACCGGTTCTTCGTCTTTTGCAGATGTAGATGCCAATGGTTCTTCACGTTCTGCAGATGTAGATGCCACTGGTTCTTCATGTTCTGCAGATGTAGATGCCACTGGTTCTTCACGTTCTGCAGATGTAGATGCACTGGTTCTTCACATTCTACAGATGTAGATGTCACTGGTTCTTCATGTTCTGCAGATCTAGATGCAACTGGTTCTTCGTGTTCTGTAGTTGCAGATGCCACTGGGTCTTCGTGTTCTGTAGATGTAGATGCCACTGGTTCTTCACGTTCTGCAGATGTAAATGCCACTGGTTCTTCATGTTCCGCAGATGTAGATGCCACTGGTTCTTCATGTTCCGCAGATGTAGATGCCACTGGTTCTTCATGTTCCGCAGATGTAGATGCTAATTCCCTTTGGTGCTCGTGTTTCCTCTCTACCCTCTTGATAAACTTACCAAAAGAGATGTCTGCAGTTTCTCTCTTCAGAAATTAACCTGTAACAGGCAACAGCATCGTGAACAGCTGCCGACACCTCAGTAAACCTTTCACCGTTTGGGTCCTGAGACTCAAAACCACTCTCGATCCGAACAGGCAACTGGACATACGGACCAGGTTTGTTCGTATCTCTGAAAAGTTCGTAAGTCGAGTGTTCGTAAGTAGAGGAGTTTATGTACAATGCAAACAACGTTGTAATTATTGACGCACGACCTAAATAATTAACCAAAGCCAGCTCAATTGCATTTGTCATTCATAACACTGTGCCCTTAACCGAAACGAAATATATAACAGACGACGTTTCTGACAATGGCCCTTATTCATAAGTGCTATGAAGTAGGGTCGCTACCCGAAACGTCTCCGATTTTATATTTCCCCCCCCCCCCCCGTTTTTAGGCCACACACAGCGTTATTGACGAATTGGTTGAGTTATTTTTTCTTAAGATGTGCATATTAAATCAGGCACACAGATTTCTATAGCAGTCTGATAAATACTGATTTGGGGTCACCAAGTAAACATGCCAACGTTGGCTTAACGTTGAGGCAACGTTGGCTCAACGTTAGCATGGTAAAACGTTGGTCGAACGTTCCATGCTTACTGGGCAGACACCTCCTGGATTTAATGACTACCACGCACGTGTCGATTTTTTTTTTACAGTGTTGCAAGATACACGGCCTGATTTTAAGCCTGTATTCATGGGCTACACACAAACGGGAGTGTGCGATTTTAACCACCAGATGGCAATGTATGATTGGGAAGAACGTTTTTCAATTCCCCACCCCGCCATCACCACTCAAAGAATAACGAAATATCCATCATTGGCGTTTTCAGGGTAGTTCTCACTCGAGGAACCTGCATTGGGCTATTTGCCCGGTTTCATTCGTGCTCTAATGAATAGTTGTTGAATGGTAGGAAGACAGATATTAACTCGCCACTGATGCTAGACGTGGTTGGGATTCAAACTCAGGTCCATGGCGCACTACGTATTCCTACTAACCACTGTGCCACAGCGCCCACCCCCCCGCACCTTATTTCATTAGCAGCCGTGATCAATCCACTGCTGGATGAAGTCCTCCCCAATCGCCACGTCCCTACGACCTTCGCGATGCAATAATTCGTCCAGGAACCTGCCTGCATCGCGAGCCTATCTCATCGCTCCATCTCCTTCCGCGGTACGAGGTCCTCTCGGTTGTGTTCCAGTCCCTGGCCTCCACTCCGTTCTTATTCTGAGCCATCGTCCATCATCCCTTGGAGCGACATGTCCTGTCCCGAGCCCCGACCAAATGTTCTTTGACGTTCTGGCTATCGCCCGATGAAGCTGGTTGGAATCACCAGCGAAACGTCGTACTCGAATTGGAAATGTTATGGGTTTACTCAACCAACGCACCAGGTCGTGCTGAAGTAGTAGCTAATTGGTCACGTTCTGTTCACGTGACAACCCTTACTAGTTGGCTGTGTAGGGTGGTGGCGGGTTTTAACGACACATTTATATATTTACGCGTCCGAACCCACTCAGCGTTTATTACGGATGTTTCTTTAATAGTTTGGATGACGTCGTGACCCCGCGTGTCTTCCCTAGACCCACGCCTTCCTCTTATTACAGACGATGGCGAATGTGAGCACAAGCCAAAATAATCCCCGAAATAGAGACGCGAATTCTTCACGTCTGAACGCATTTGCGGTTTCAATTATGTATGCACATAACATAATAACATGGGATTTACCAAGAGGGGGAGGAGTCTGGATGGAGGGTTGGGGCTAAACAAATATAAAGTAAAAACGAATCCAGCGCTCTCACGGTCTGACTGTCGACAACAACAATATCTGACTCACCTACCCACAAACACCACCACCACCACGACATTCTCACATAGTGGCGTCACCTACTCATTTGCCAGCGTGATTGTTCACGAACCTTCTCCACCACCACCACCACCACTCCAAGCCACCCACCCACCCACTTGGCGGGCTCAATGCCACCACCGCAGCTGCTGCCCAGGAGGAGCCGTGGTTGTCGTCCGATGCTGCCCTCTGTGTGGCGTGGGGGAGCGGGGTAACAACACGGTCCTTGCCACAATAATAAATACATCTGGATTGACAACTCATTTCTTTTAGAACTGCCTTCTGTGTGTTTAGTTCGTTGTTCACTCCCGCCGCCGCCGCGCCTCCGATTAGCGCGGTTGGCTACGTACGGTGCGAAAGAAGTTCAACTTGCATACTTACAAACCATCGAACAAAGACGGCCAACCGCATCGCGCGCTTTCAGATGCGCTTCTGCGGCCGTCTGGAACGCTCTTCCTTCCGATATTAGGAAGCTTCTGGAGCTATCCACTTTTAAAAATAGATTGAAAATACGAATTTCTTTAGGACTGCTTTTGGTGTTTAGTTTATTGTCCTAACACCCCCCCCGGCACCTCCGATTAGCACGGTTGGCTATATATGGTGTGAAAGAAGTTCAACATACATACATACACAAACTCACACAGAGACCCATAGACTCATTCAGCAGAGACCCATAGACTCACACAGCAGCGACCCGTAAACTCACGCAGAGACACATAGACTCACACAGAGACCCATAGACTCACACAGAGACCCATAGACTCACACAGCAGCCACCCATAGACTCACACAGAGACACATAGACTCACACACAGAGACCCATAGACTCACACAGAGACCCATAGACTCATTCAGCAGCGACCCATAGACTCACACAGAGACCCATAGACTCACACAGAGACCCATAGACTCACACTGAGACCCATAGACTCACACAGCAGCCACCCATAGACTCACACAGAGACACATAGACTCACACACAGAGACCCATAGACTCACACAGAAACCCGTAGACTCACACAGAAACCCATAGACTCACACAGAAACCCATAGACTCACACAGAGACCCATAGACTCACACAGAGACCCTTAGATTCATACAGAGACCCATAGACTCAGGCAGAGACCCATAGACTCGCACAGAGACCCATAGACTCACACAGAGACACATAGACTCACACAGAGACCCATAGACTCACACAGAAACCCGTAGACTCACACAGAAACCCATAGACTCACACAGAAACCCATAGACTCACACAGAGACCCATTGACTCACACAGCAGAGACCCGTAGACTCACACAGAGACCCGTAGACTCACACAGCAGAGACCCGTCGACTCACACAGAGACACATATACTCACACAGCAGAGACCTGTAGACTCACGCAGCAGAGACCTGTAGACTCACACACAGAGACCCGTAGACTCACACAGAGACCCATTGTTTGTTGTCCGCCTTCCGCACCTCTTATTAGCACGGTTGGCTACGTATAGTTCAACGTACGTACAGACAATATTTTGTAAGGGGGAGCGCTGGATGGGATATTGCTGGAGGTGGGGAGGTAGCCCTCATTTGGGGCAGAAGAGTCTGGCCCAGGTCGCAAGGCTCGCCGCAGCGTGAGTTTATTGACTTTGTTCGCATGGATGATCCCGTTTCGGCCACTTTCCCGGCTATTTTACACGGGAAATCCGTGGTGAGTGAGCACAGCAGCAAGGGCGGCAGGCAGCAGCAGCAACAACAAAAACACTAAATACAAACGTAGAGTCTAAAGGGCAGCTTAAATCAAAAGTGGTG